TGCATATGCTTTTAATAATGTCAGATAAAGTTTCTCGAGAACTCAACCATTTTCTGTGAAAATTAGCTCAAATTACCGCGTTTTCAGAAACGCTCGAACGCCATTTTCGCAAAAACGGCTCCAAATTGTTCTCCAAATATTTCGAACGGATAGGGTAATTACAATCATTAATATGACGTAAGGTTCATTTCGGAGCACTTTTTGTTTTTCAAAAATTACTCTAATATAATCTTTTTGGAAGATATATCACCCCTTTCATATGATTATTTCCCGCTATTTGTTCACCCTATCGCATTTATGTCTAGAATGCTTGGAATTACTTCATAAGAAATTTTTCGGAATAGTTTTCTGCGAAAAGAGGTTCAAATTATAGTAGCGCGTAAACGTCATTTTCTTAGAAACAGCTCTAAATTTTTGAAAGGAAATTTCCATTTAGGGCAACGTTTTACTGTTCTTTAATATTCTTAAAATAAAATTCTTATAATAATTTCCGTTCTACCATTATGAAACCGAGTAATTAAAAAATGTCAAAAAAAATGTACTTTGGGTGGCGTTAGATGGCAGCTGCCAAGAGTATGTGGCAAGTGCGAATTGCTAGCTGAACAAAGGAAAAAGAAAACTAATTCGGCTTGACAATCATGAAAAGCGAAAATCTGTCAAAGAGTATTGAATAATTTCTTCAAATATTTTAAAGGAAGTTTTGGGAATTGTTCCAAAAATCTCTCGAAAATACGGAATAAACCTTAATTGAAATTTTTTTGTCAACAATGACTGTATTACTTTTACTTTCCCTAGACGTAATACGTTAATATGGATGGAGTAATAGGGAAAGTTATGTAATGGGCGGAAAATCGATTTCGAGAATTCAACGGAAATACACGTTTTAGGGTCCCCTGATACCGAAAAATTGGTTCCTTTAAAATGTCCGTCTGTCTGTGCGTCTGTGAATACCACTAGCGCCGAAACGAAGCGTAGGATTTTTTCCAAATTGAAGAAACTCCTGTCCATCTGGCTCGAGTCAATGCTTTGAGATTTTGAAAAACATTCTTTAATTTTTTAAATTTTAAATTAAGCCCTCCGGACATTTTCAATTCTTTTTTTCAAAAAACGGCTTCAAAATGTTTTTTTTTAAATTCTTACAAGTTTATTCTTGCAAGAATTTAAAAGTAAAATACACTTACGAAGGTGGCATTGGTCCAATTTTCAGGTTAGGCTCTAATTTTTCGAGAATTTCAAAATTTCAAAATTTTTCGGGCGTCTTCCTACAACTAAAAATTGAAGATAGAGAAATTTTTGGAAAGAAGATGCTACCCCACCCCACCCTATCAATAACATTAAATCTCTGTATCAGAATACCTCTGTTATTTTAGAACTAGAAGACAAATATTCAAAAGAAATAAAAATAAACCATGGAGTTCGCCAAAGATGCAGCCTTTCCCCAACATTCTTTAAGACATACTTGGATGAAGTCATTCATGTCATAAAAATGGAATGTACATAAATACACTCCTATTTGCTGATGAGCAAATTATAATCCAAGACAGTCAAGATGACTTACAGAGTTCTATTCATCAATTAAATCAAACTTGCAAAGAATATAATCTAAAGATTTTAAAAACGAAGACCAAAACAATGTCATTTGTGTGAAAACATGCTATACGCACTAAAATAATTTTGGAAAATACAATGCTGGGTACAGAATTAGACATTTTAAATATGTTGGGCTAACTAACAATAATACGTTTTTCAAGCAAATGGATATATCGTATATATTATATAAATTTATGTGATATAATATATATATATGATACGTATATAAGTAGAAACAATCCATAAATACCAGAATATATGCGGAAACATTCGGCGAACTCTTAAAGATAATTCACATGGAGATACTCTAATGAGGATATATAAAGTCCTGTCTCTGTTGTTCGGAAGTGATTGATGGACTCCGAGGGAGAAACATAAACGGGCTTTACAGTCTGCTGAAATGAAATACTTGAGATGTAAAAAAATGTATCAGACTAGATAAACTCAAAAATGAGGAAAGAATTCAAGCAATTAATGTACAACTTGTGGAACGAATGGAAGAGTCTCGCATTACAAAGCATGTGTTTAAGTATAGACCTTAAAGCAGAAGAGACCCAGCTAGATGGAATTCTTAGAAGCTGGAGTAGGTCATAGACCTTGAAGTGGAGAAGAAGAAACTTTCGTTCCCATAAATTTCCCATATAAAATTTCTTTCATTATGGTCATGTACATTTTTTAAAACATTTTTGTTGTTGTGGAGCCATATTGCGTGCAATATTTGCAATTGTAATTAATTACAAAAACAAGTTTTTTTTCAAAATCTGCTCCAATTTTTTCTTTAATCTAATTATTTTAGATATCGTGTTAGTACATTGGAAGAAACCTTTACGCATTTATAAACAAATAAATAGAACTTGTGCTGTGAACCAACACCAAGAACAAACTTTTTAAATGAACTAAAGAAAATGGTTTGAAAGAAATGAACAGAATAAATCCCTGTATACTACATTACTCTGGCCGATGCTATACACGAGTATTTAATAAAATAAGATACTGTATCATACAAGATACATGCATGTTTCCAAGGGTATTGCGGTATTTTACCAAATTTACCAAATTCATGTGGTGATTACGTGCGTCATCAGGAGAGAGCGGTCCCGGGACGGGGCGAGGCGGGGCCGGGGGCGACGGCGGTGGGGATGGTTCGAGTCACGTCACCGGCCGGACTCCTCGCGGATGCTGCGGCGAGGAAGAGAGCGGGGCGGGGAGACGGCCTGTGGCTCCTATATATTGGCGGCCGAGATGACCACGCTGCACGTTCGCTCCTTCCACAGGTAGCGCTGTAACTCGGCTTCTCTGCATTTTGCCGGGATGTCTCTCATCGTTCGTTTGGTGAGTACCACATTTACCAAGTATTGTACCAAACAAGTGCGGGATGTAATCAAATTTCACATCAATTCAGTTTTTAAACTGTGATGCAAGGAGAGACAAAAGTAAGAGGAAAGTTATAATTTTAAAACAGTCATGCGTGTCCATCATATTGTTTGGGCGTTGAAAGATCAATGGCACCTGCCTCCTAATGGCAACGAAAGCAGTTTACAAAGCATTTCTTATAGGATGCACGACAGAAGCCGATACAAACAATTATGATTACTTATAGTATGCCTATTATAAATAATGTGTGAATATTAAGGTCACCAACATTTTTATTACTGATTTTGCAGCGAGTAATAAAATAGGTCTAGACGTTAATTTCCAACGAACTTTAATAATATAAATGCACGTATGAATATTAAATATTTTCTGAAAATGACTTTAAAAGAATACGCCTACGAGTAATGTTTATTTCATTCTGAGAGGTCTTAACAATAAACATTAGATAAGCTGTTCCATTCTTTACTTACGTTTTAAGAAGTCAATAATGAAAGCCAGAATACTTAGTATGCCCTATTAAATATAGTGGGACAAGTTTTGCCTGGTGCCTCCAGCGGAGGGTACTTTTTTATTGACAATTTTTATTTATTATTCTTTCTGGAAAGACATTTTAAATACAATAAGTTGCCTGACTTATCTAACCACAGAAACAAAGAATTACATGAAAAAGAATCGATAGAAGTGAAAAAAATGGTGTCTCATTACATTTGTACAATTATGGACATATGTACATATTATGTACATATGTACAATTATCCTCAATATAATGAAAATAAAGCGAGAAAGTAAAAACTAGTGCCACTGCAATGAAACAAGTTTTAACATAACAATTCACGATAAGCCGAAAGACAGTAGAGTAATCCAGCGTTTACACACTGGAGTGCCTCAAAACTCCCTAAAACATTTTCCCAATTTTTTTCAGAATATTCTAAAATATTTGCTATAATGAATATACCCAATTGATTAATCATTTGTGCTAAAATTCGTCGCAAATGCGAAGAAAAGAGGGGTTTTAAAATCCAAATTAAAATTAACTTTTCTATAATTTTTTACAATTTGTAACGCAGACTAGTGTTATTAGATGACTATTTCGTTTTCCACATTTAAGACCTTAAACTTAGTATATTGCAAGTTAGATGAAGAAATTATCATCCTAGAATGTAGTCCGTAGAGTTCAGATCTTCACAGCAAATGTGTCGTAAAAGTTATTTTCCGGTTGTAGTTTCCGACATGTCATTTATTGAACATCTTTAAACTAAGTTCTTTTAAAGACAAGTGACCTTTAAAAGCTTCAATATTTTTCCTGATTTTTTTGCAGCTCTTTTAAAATACTTTGCATTTTTAGAGTATGTAGACATTCACTTGCTGGTTTCTCGTCGTTTTCGTGAAGAGGGTCCATAGAAACATCCGATTCATTAAATCAATTCCTTGAGTCGTCTTGTTCCTAGGAAACCTCGTGTAGGTGCGAGAAGACTTGTCTCTCTCTTGCGAAATTGGCGCAAATGGAACGAATTTGGTTTTGACAGTTTCTAAAAATTTGTGTTATTATTTATTTATTATTTATTGATTTATTTATTTTATTTATTTATTTAGTGTATTTATTTATTTATTATTTATTTATTTATGGTATGTTTTATGTATTTATTTATTATTTATTTATTTATTTATTTATTTATTATTTATTTATTTATTATTTATTTTATTTATTTATTTATTATATTATTTATTATTATTATTATTTATATTTATTTATTTATTTAGTGATCTGTAAACAGGAGTAAACCAAACATATTGGATATTTTTTTAAATTGGGTGTGATGTCGAGAATTTACCTGAGAAATTAGTTTGAGGAGCTATTGAATACTCACCACGTTTTTTTCTTTGAGTGGTTTGAATAAACTTTGTTTATATTTAGCCCTTGTTTAGGTCACTGCGCTAAATTAGAAAGTATAAACTTGTTCACATTCACCCTGGAGAGTCGGGAGTAGTTGTAAAATCGTTGTAGAAGAAGATTAAATTAGTCTTGAAAGTAGGTGTTGTTTTATTCAAACTTTTCTACACAATCTCAAAAGAGAGATATGGCTAAACAATTCGAAAATTGGGACATTAATAAAACTATTTGAGATTGCAATATTAGTAAGGTGACCAATAGCGAAACACACCTATTTCGCCCCATTACTCCCTACTTAGCGACAAAGCAGTGAAAACTGTTCCGACGTTTGGAAGGGCTACTCTTAGTGTTCAAATAAATCAAGGGATCACGTCAACATTTGCTTAATGAGTCGATATAAGGATAACGAAACACCCGATCGAAATGGAGTCATTAATACAAAAGCTTACCACAATAAATACAAATTGGGTTTTTCACAATTATTCAGTATACAAGTTCACGCAGCAATTCCTCTTCAGAGGTAACATGAAGTGTTTGGGATATTCATACGAGTACTGTTCTAGGTTTTGGCAGCGGCCGCCCTGGCCACTGTTCTCTCCGCTGCCTCGCCCGCCGCCACCGCCGCCAGCGTCGCCGCCGCCGCTGCGGCCGGGCGCGCAAAGAAAGACGTGGGTGCCACCGCTCCAGACGCCACTGGTCCCGCGATCCCGCCAGGTATTAACAGGAGACTAGTCCTTTTTGCACTGGCGGCTCGTGAATTCGCGAGCGCTTCACAAAACAATCTCAACAAACAATCAAACAAATCAAAACAATCAACTTTATGACTATTGTGTGTGTGTGGGGGGGGGAGGGAGGGAGAGAGTGGCC